GTTATCTGGGTGTGTTAACATTTAAGGGACCGACTTTAGGGTCCCCCGGGGTTAATCAAACAACGCAAAATTCAGCATTCATTTACCGATTCATTTATTTGGGGTTACGAAGTTGTTACTTAAGTTTTTTTCATGTCACTATCACAAAGTTAATGGCACATTATGTCTTAGATATCATTAAAGAAATTCTTTCTTAAGAAAAGGTAAACATGTGTTAAATTATGTTTTAATAATGGGAATGCTTATCAGAAAATAGCGGTGAATGAGAAACGATTTTCTTTATAAAGGTATAACAAAATGTAAACGAAGTAGTATTATAACTTCCATACAAAATAAGATACTAAATCACTATAACTGTACTAATTGACTCAGATATATGTCAGAGAAATTATAACAGGATTCCAAAAATAAAAATAAAACTTTTGAGAAAGAACGATTTAGCACTTTTAAGGCTGAAGGACATAAATACATTGCAAAAGTCAAACAAATAGTGATTATTGTAGTATTAAAGTTTCATATGTGTAGAATCTCTTAATATAGCTATGCAGCATAGCAAAATATGTTAATGTGCTCGACATTGTGGATTCGATTTCAGGGCTGGCCAACTAAAATTACTAATCAGTCTTTCGGATGAGACTTCTTTAAATCGAGGTTCCCGGTGTGAGTGCTTAAACACTTGGCACCCTAAAGAACCAGGAGAAGCTTCTGGAATTTGGGCATCTTTCTGTATCTTGCACTTTCCTCCAAAAATATAAAATGACTAATACTCTTCTGGGGGGAAGGGGTAGGGGGTGGGGCTCGCCCATATTGGCAACAGGAGGCGGGTAGAAATAAACTTAAACACACACAAATATTTTAACGGCTCCTATTGTAAACTGATGTTGTGGTATAAATCATTGTTAAAAGGTCCGTTTCTAAAAGCCAAAACACATTTATAAGGCTACTTGCTTTAAATTTAACATGATAAACAACAAGTTTTGGTATTCGAAAATTTAACTGTTGTTCTGTTATATTGTTCATTTAAAAAAATATGAAATTTCTATAACTTTCTTTAAAGCATCACACTTTCATTTGATAGGCTTTATAAAAGAAAAACAATACGCTATTTATCAGAAATAGATTTAGTTGTTTAACAAGCCACACAGTAAATGCCAAAGTAAGATGACGTTATTTTTCAAATATAATTTTTTTTGAAATAATGAAATCAACAATGTTGTCAAAAGAGTCTTTATCTAAGAAATGCACACACGTTTTCCCTGGTCTCTTTTAGGTCGGAATATTTTGTTGCACTTTCCATGAGCCCTTTAGAATACTGACCATCCTCAAACACCATTGCTTCCGGGGCGTCAAGGGCGTGTGCCTACAATTTACAAAAAACAAAGAGTTTTGTTAATACTTCGCCCGTACAGTAATCAATGTTAAAACTGATAACGATTCGCCTAAGTTAAAGAAACAATATGCCCACCCACTGTAAATAAATGGTGAATGTACTGATTAAAGTAAAAATAACTTTTAATTTTTCCATACATGTTTTCATTTTTATATTTGAGCCGCGTCATGACAAAACCAACATAGTGCGTTTGCGACCAACATGGATCCAGACCAGCCTGCGCATCCGCGCAGTCTGACCAGGATCCATGCTGGTCGCTTACAAACCCTGTTACAAGTTGTGAAACTGATAGCGAACAGCATGGATCCTGATCAGACTGCGCGGATGCGCAGGCTGGTCTGGATCCATGCTGGTCGCAAACGCACTATGTTGGTTTTGTCATGACACGGCTCATTTTACTTCACGTGTACAATTAGGAACCCATGTGACCCAAAGAAAGGTTAGATATATACGTTGAAATGTTCCGGTAATGCTCAATGTATAAAAAGTGTGGCTCTGGTCTTTTCATGTTTTAACCAGGTTTTAAACCTTTAGAATTTTAATTTATTGTTTTATTTTATAATTATCAATCTTTTGGAATATATGGTTTATTCAGTTCACCCTGACATTGAAAATATTGAGCATAACGCCACTTTATAAGTGACGAGTAGCATCAAAATTGTAATAATCATCAAGGCTTCATTTTTTCAGTTCATTTATTTTAACAAAATTACGAGTATCTATGAATTTGCTAGAAAATTGGTCAGTTTTCCAAAATACTTCTTTTGTTTTGTTGAATTTTTGAATTAAGAGTTAGCATATTCAGTATAACAAGGACATATAATTTTGACCATGTAACTAGCTGTAAAAGGACTGTGCCGTTTGGATAGCCGATAAGGTGAATTGTTATATTATTAGTTATAAAAATATCTGACAGGTTATATGGTACAGAATAAATGATTGTAATGCTTATATAACCATAGCCGCTAGGTGAGGGTTATATTGCAAACAACCGTTTATATACGATCATATAACCTGGTAGCGTCTCTATAAAGAATTTATAGTAGAACATAATTATTTTGTATGTGTAAAAAGGGAAATAACTTTATAAATCTACAACAGCCGTGTATATAGATTATATAAACGTCGCGATTATCCAATGAGAAACGGCGTTACAAAAGTGCAGTATTATGAAATTAAAACTACTTTATAAAATGACATGTACAGGATTTGTGGTTAATATATCAGACAGCAGCGTTTTGCTATATAAACTTTTAAACAAAAGGCTTACATAAATCTGGAAATTAAATAATTTGATAAATCTACCAATCGAAACGTTAATCTAGCAGTTTATCATTTGAGATTAATTTATTTCCATATGTAACTTTTCAACTTAAAATCTTATCAGCCTTTTCGTTTACAGCTATAGGAAGATACGAAGATTAATATATCTGTACCATGTTTGTGGTTTTTTGAAGATGAAAAAAATTAACCCATCTAAATCTAAACTTCTAAATAGAATAAGATATCTTTTTTTTAAAAAATGCAAATAAGTTCAGAGTAATTTTACTTTTTACAAAAAAACCGTATATGCTGAATAAATTCAGTTTATAAATATAGTTTAAACTTACTAATTTTGCAAAATGATTTACTTATATTTTGTGTTGCTTTTTTATGGAGCGGATGTTGGATTCGTGACTAAAGTGACGTCATTAATGACGTTATACTTGTGTTTTTCGTACATTTAACCTTAACAAGAAATCAATATAACCTGACATTTTTGTTATTATAATAATACCAAATAATTCAAATTGACAGACAAAATCTTAACTTGTAATGGGCTATTCCCGTCTAAATTTTTACGTATTTTTCTCGTTATTTTGATCATTAAATGTTTCCACCTTTATACAGGTGTGTCAAATATTTCAGTTCTTGTCCCTTCCCATTCCATGTTATTAAGGACAATGTAAAATATTTGAAAATCTAGGTTGTTTACTACATTGTTTACATCATTGTGCATAACGTGTTTACGTTATTTTACGGAAATAGACGGAAACGGGCGGAAACTGACGTAAATGAAATATAAAACATACTTTGATAAAATTTACGACAATGTTGACATCCTCCTCCTGCGTGGGTCTGAACAATCCAATAAGAAGCCCATGCTTGTAGGTCAGTAAAGCGTATGGCTGAAGATAATAATACAATAGATAAATATTAATAAAAACATAAACCCATATGCTAATTTATCTAGAATAATAACTATCAAATAACATGTGTTTATATTTCTTTCTTTCTTAAAATTAAGGTGTTCTTTAATGTAATTTTCTTTTTGTATTCAAACGACATGGGTATAAATAAACGATATGTTTGTACTTGTGTGACTGTGGCTAAATAAACAACTTATTTTGACACAAGTTTTTTGTTTGATAGATTAAATTTCATGAACTTGCATAACCTAACAATCTAACAAAGCAAATAAATACAACTACGTTATATTATACGAAAGTTATAAATTCTGAATGCGCTGTTAGGATATATAAATAGAAGTTAATAAAGAAGTTATAAATAGTTAAAGTTAACACTATGGGCGATGTCTATGGCTATACTCAGTGTAGATCCAAAGCAACCTTTGGGTGGGGGTGGGGCGTGGGGGTGGGGTCCATACTGTCTGACAATTATCTATACCAATTTCAGTTATCACAGCATTCTATTTCACTCTCTTTAAATTGATAATGGACTTTTCCGTAACAAATTTTAACAGAACTAGTCCTTAAAATATATATATAATTTTCGTTTTTCATCGTAAGGTTAAAAAGGGCGTTTTCGATGTGTTTTATTGAATTTGGAAATCGAACTTGATTTTCGATGATTGATTAGAATCACCAGTGACAGAAATACACAACGGTTTGTGCCATAAAAGAGGAGACATTATTATTCATCTCAAAGATTTTAACAGACTTAAAAGTTGCCTACGTCTGAATAGAATCATTAATTACATAAAAGTTATATCTTTTTAAATGATGTCCTGCTCCTAAAGGTAATTAAAAAAAATGCAATTTTGCGACTCAAAATGCAACCGTACCTCGTAATTTATGGGGTCAAGGGAGGGTATTATTTATTCATTAAAATAAATTTTGAACTCAGAGCTCGGATGAAAATAAACTGTTTACCGCTAGAAGTCAACTTTTGAATGTTTTCAACTTGGATCCTCAAGCTGACTCAAAATTCAACTTTAGCATAATATTCTTTTTCTATATACATTGTACTTTGACATGGTATCTTTGAGCAGCGTATGCTCGAGACTTTGGATTCTTTCATGTGAGGAAGCTATCCAGCTAGCTTACGGAACGCAGGTGCGGTGGTTCTGCATGTGTTCGTCTGTGATGAGCATTCGACGCCAAAAATTGAAGAGATACGAGAACTGCCAGAAGCGGTGGCAGAACATGGGAACGTTTCGTTTCCCTCCGTATATCAACCAAACCAACTATTCTCAAGATGGTTTGAGGAAAGAAACGATAACGTTCCCGGATTTCCTCACTGCTGTAATTCTCTAGTGGGTTCGAACGATCCCTAAATATACCCGCCGATCAAATGGTAGGCTTCTTAAATAACGCAACCGACGCTGCCGTGACACATAGTCAGCCATTTTTCAGAGTGTATTGTGGGATTGATCTTTAAGTTGATCCAACTAAATACGAGGATCAAAATATGGATCAATTTGATCCATATTTTCGGATCAGATTTGATCGTAATTCTTTGTGAACACCAACTTTGATCTTGATCCGAAAATTGATCCAAAAACTTGATCTTGATCCAAATATAAGGATCAGAAATGTTAGTGAACATGGGGCCAGGTGCCCGTTTGTGCCTGAAATAATGCACGGACGGGCACCTGCGGTCTTCCTCCACCAGTAAACCTGGAAAGACGTCATATGACCTATACTCTGTTCGAACATTGTAAATAAATAAATAAATAAATAGAATTCTCCAAGTTGCTAAAATTTTGGATCCTCCAGCTGGCCCAAAGTTCAAGGTTCACTCAAAATCTAATTATTTTTTTTTTATTTTTGCATTAACTTTATGTCAGTAGATCTTAGATGTCCGATCTTACTTGTTGTTACCGATCTGCGGTATGTATCTTTATAATGCTTTGGATTATCTGTATTAAACTTTAATCCTTTGTGATATTGGCTGTCAAACCATGCTGCAAGCCCATATATCAGTTTTAAAAGTTTGGTTTTGATTAATGTACCTTAATAATGTAGTCATTCAGGGAGTGTTCATTGAAAACATACCCATACATGTCTACACCTAATCAAGTTTCTTACATGTTACATTTAGATAAGCTAAATAAATGGCCCTTTCAATATTTAATCTGGCACAATTTTTAATGAAATGTCTAATTAAGATTGCCCACGATTTATATCTTTGTCTTTGAAATACTATCATGTTTCTGTAAAATATGTGAATAAAAAAGCGGGAAAATGATGCAATTAGCTAAAAACAATGGAGTAAATGAAATTGAAATGTGTACATTCTTTTAAAATGATGGAAAATGTGAGAAAAATATTTTTTGAGCTGGTAAATTGATGCAAATTTTTTATTTGATGAAAGTTATTCACTAAATCATGTAAATGAACAAGATCATTTAAAATCCATTTTGACTACTTGAAAAACTGATTTTTAAAAAAAATAATTTTTTGCTCTTCTGTGTATCTGTCATCAGTGTATTGATATGTTCCTCTGACCAAGATATTGTATACATTTACTAAAATTTACAGATCAGTAACGAAAAAGTCAGAAAATAATAAAAAAAACAACACTATCACACCTTCGGGGCACATGTTTTGTGTCAAACCGGTGTTATCAGTGTCTTGACAGCCAAAAACTTGTAGAAAAATAGAACGTGTTCTAACTTTCTTGCAAGGAATTATCTTCTTGGATGTCACATAATTTCTCTTTAAAACTCATTCAAGTAGGGTGTCTTCATTATCCAATACAAGAGAATATGATACTTGCATTCAAGACTTGGATAGGTGTTATAAAAGGATTTGTTATAACGTCAACGTCAAGGTTGTTTCCTATAGAAATAATGAATATGTAAATAAAGACATTATCAAAAAACACTTTTTTTTTGATAAATTGTCCTTAAATTGTGTATGTTTCTATATATAGGGCATTTATTTATTCATTCATTTTGATGGGTTTTCAGTCAAACTAAAAATGTAAAGGTCATACGACGACCTTACTGATCTTCAAGCGGGATCTTAGATGCCCTAACGTGCATTATTATAGGGCATGATTGAATAAATTGTCCTTAAATAGTGTATTTTCTATATATAGAGCACATTTATTTATTTATTCATTCATTGTGTTGGGTTTTTTTTGCCAAACTTAAACTGTAAAGGTCATACGACGACCTTACTGATCTTCAAGCGGGATCTTAGATGCCCTAACGTGCATTATTTTAGGCCATGAGCGGGTCTGGGTAAAACCATCAATCCCCGGTGAATTTGCACGATAGCTGCCTCAAAAACCTGAAAGTATACGAACATGTGAAAACAGAAAGAAACAACACATTAAATTCAGACTTTTTGTCGTATTTATGTTACGTATTTTCGTTTTTTTCGCCACATCATGGCGTAAATCAGTCACCATAATCTTGGGTGTGTGTAACTGCATAAAACAAAGCGATTATAAGAACAGTTTGCGACAAATTCATAGAATAATCTAAAGCAAATTAATTTTCAATCTCACCATGTTTCGGGTTATATGCCTGTACGGTGTAATGATATGCTTTCCAAGACAGTCTCGAACCAATGACCTCAATGCCGCAAGTTCCGGCTTGTCTGCCATGCATGGGTGGTACAGCAACACGACCGCACCATGCTTTAATGGGAAAACAAACACAAACAGTAATAAAAAGAAAACAGTTAACATAATATTATGTCGCACTGTTGTATTTCTACAGCATATATTAATCATTTACTTTATTCGTGTACATACATACATACATACATACGTACATACATACATACATACATACATACATGTACGAAAAAATAATCTAAAGATGTATTAGGTTGCCTGTACAAGATTTGTTTATTGATATAAAACTTGTCCTACAAAACGTAATTCAGTTAATAAAATGATATATGCCTGATGTATTCTCTCCTACTTTTTGGCGTCTATTTCATTAGAAAGCCCTTTTTAGTGGGAATGCTTGATTAGTTTTTTTTTCAGCATGACTTGATTGTTTCGTGATCTGTCTAATTACTTTCTCTAAAAGTTTTATGCTAAACTATGACTCCACAAACACTAATAATCTAATATATAGAAAAGTCTACCTCTAAAGAATGAACCCATCTTTGCGGCGGAAGGTATTTATATTCTCCAAACATTGGCCACAATGGACGATGGCTTCCACTGAAATAAAAACAACAACAATTTTATCAGATTACCACTTTCGACTTCCCTTCGCGGCGTGCATGTCGCTCGGAAGGCATATGTCACACCAGATGGGTGACCTAGTTAGGTCACTTAGCTGGTGTGACCTAACCAACGGCGAAGGGTGTGGCCCTAAAGAGAGCTGCTGCTCCCGGAAGAGGTGCCTTTCCTCTATTGTCAACCATTGTTCAAGAAGCGAAGAAACGGGTCCTAGAGAAGATCTACGACGAACGACAGCATGAAAAGACCTCCGTTGCGGCTCTACGATCGACGACGTTGCAGGCGAATTAAGTCCTCCGTTACAGGCTCTACGACCAGCAATCGTAACAGAGGCCGATAGTCTGGGACATATGGGTTTACCGGCGCCCAGTATAAATAAAACTAAAACAACGATCAGTCTAACATTTTAAATAAACAAGCCCAGGATATAGATATCATTATGCATGAAAAGAAGCAAGAGAACGAATGTGAAAACTTCTTTGCAAAATTGCTCTTCCAAGTGAGATTTTTTTTCGTTAAAATTTCAAACGCTCAGAAAAAAGCCTAAAAAACCTTGAATATGAATTTCTTCCATAGATTGGCTAGAACAATTAAAACTGAAAGAATATGCAAAAGATCACGTTGAAAAATACTGAGAAATAAATTCTTTGCACGATTTTATTGGAAAAAAAAGCGTTGCAACGCTTTTCGATTTTTGAACATTTTTCACAATTAGAATAATCATTCTTGAAAAACGGAGTGGTGATATGAAATATGAAATTTTTCACACACGTTATTTTTCTAAACCTACATCAAATGGAATATTAATATTGAAAAAATATTTCCAGTCCCGTCATTCCAACAAACCTCAGTGGAGTTTTTAATGTGAGTTGGCCTAATGGAATATCTGTATTACAATGAATAACAATGTTGAATGTATTTAGATCCAGACATTTCAATAAACCACGAAATAATTATTAAGGAAGTTGTTGTGAAGTGTGAGATATATGATCCGATATAACATATATATGTAAAGCAGATAATAAAATGTTCTAGAACAAAAAATATACTATTCATCATATAAATGTTTTTTTAAACCTCTTAAAGGGACTTCACTGAGGTTTTTCGAATTGATGGAACTGAAAATATTTTTTGTATCATTTGATGTAGGTTACGACCACTAATCTTTGTGCAAAATTTCAGATCATACGAGCACTTTGTTTTTCCAAATTGATAATATTCAAATTGATAAAAAAGTGACCCAAAATGAAAAGCGTTTAAACGTTTTTCACTCCAATAAGGCTAAGAAAAGCATAAAAATACGATTTATTGAATAAAATGTATTTCTTAGCTATCTCTGCATATATTTCTATTTAAAGTGCCCCAGATCATTCATGTAAGACATTCAGATGGTATGTTTTTAGGCTTTTAAACCTCAATGGAGTCCCTTTAAGAACTTTATCATTTTTGTCATGCAACTTTTTATAAGAATATCTAAATGATACATTTTTTACTGTTCTTATCAATATCTGAAGAAAAATGTGCCCATTGTAGTCCTATCCACTTTTACTATTTTAAACATGTTTTATAACTAGAAATTAAAGAAGCTATAAAAACTGTACTGATGTTAATTATCTCATTTTACGAATATAAAGAACGTGAATGCCTATATAACACAACTTCTTATTTCAAATTTATATTTAGAGGAAATTGTGAACAAAATCGTGACATTTGAGAGAAAAATAACGAGTTTTTATTCGAGACATTTTCTAGGGAATTATGGTAATTTTGAGAGACAAAAAAGCATCAACAGTATATTGAGACATCTACACAATAAAGCAAAAACAGCGTTACAAATATACATTTGGTCGTGAAATGATATGAAAGCAACAACAGCTGCAACAACAGCAGCAACAACATAAACAAAAAAATGTTGGAAGAATGAATTGGGCTTTACTCGGGTGTTACACACTTCAAAACAACAACAGGGGTTATAACCACCCTATCTTATGAAGCTAAGAGATGCATAATATTATACTCCAGTTATTCGTACCTATTAAGTCGCCATGGAAAAACGGCGGCAGCAATTATTATACCTAAATCATTAAAGCAACCACAAGGGACACAACAACAAAATACATATAAAACGCAAACACATAACAAAATAAATATTATAATGCTTTTTATATCGCCTATAACCAAATTATTGAAAGTGTAAGAAATTGGTTTCGTAGATTTGTGTATGTACAGGCGATGACTTGTCGCGACGGCAATTATCAAAAGTAGCCAGACTAAATCGGTGACAAGCCTTCAAGAGTTGTCTCCTCGTTACGGCCGTGAATGTATGGGTAATTGAAGGAGACAACAAAAGACGACGCAAAACGACAAATGAATAGAATATTGAGCGTACGTCTTGGTTAAAATCGCCAACAACTATAATTGGCATTATTTAAAATGACCATGAAGAAGACGGAACCAGTTGATGTAAATTGAGGATGAATAATTGGCTAGTTGTATATAAGATCAAAGCTAGATTAAATTCTCGGAAATCGGCTACAGTCTTGAATAATTGGTGCATAATGCTTCCCCCACACCGTCTCCGTTCCTCTAAATACGTCAAAACTTGTAAGAACACAAAAGTCGTACTTTAAGCATAACTGGGGTGACAAAGCAGTCCGAGAGAAATCATCTAGTATTCTTGTTTTATTGACAAGACACTTCTTTTGCAATGATGACAAAGCTGAAAATGCTTCGAAGTATGAAAATAGAATTTACAAATGATAATTATGTAACAAGTTACTTAAATTATTTCACAGAAAACATGAAATTAAAGCATTACTGAATAACATAATGTCAAATTTAAATAATAACTGATAAAGGTAATAGATAACAGGCGAATACAAAAAATTAATTTGAAAAAAATTAAACATATCATAACATAAAAGGCAACAGAAAAATAAAACAACAAGAAACAGAAAGATCTAATTATATATATAAAAAAACAACACCAGCAACATTAACATATTAACAAAACAGGCAAAACTTACGGTATATAACGAATGCTTATTATATCAAAGAAAATAACATCACAAAAACAACAAAAATAGAAAAGACAAATTCATTACATAATTGATTCATATCAATGTTAAAACAGAGAACAACACATATAAAAAATTGAAATCAAACACTTAACGACATTACATGTCATAAATGAACAACATAATTATCAGACAAACAGAACATTACAGGAAACACTACCACCACCATCAACAACAAAGATAACACTCTCTTACCTTAATGGCAGTGGTGTTTTATATCGTATCGGCGTATTCAAACAAACATGTATTGGCTGAAAACATTAAGATTATATTTATGGAAAATGCATGTTAAAATAATGTAGAACTGTAGGCCAAACACTAATTTGGAGAATCTAAATGTTAACTTTCACATAATTTGAGATTTTAAAATCGTTTAACGCGATAAAAGAAAGCACGCCGGTTGCATTACATGATGACACTTTAACGTTTCCGTAGAAACTCTGATAAGATGTTCATAATGAAGAAAAAAAATTCGAATTGAAATGTTTCCGAGTTAATGTACAATGTATTTAAGGTGTGTAAAAAAAAACAACAAAAAAAAAACAACAACATTAATTTATTTTTTCTATATGTGTTTCAATTGTTTTTCGTTAATAATTATGTATTTATTCTTATGTATATGAACTGTACTAGAACTTTGTGTTGCTCTCTGCTATGCACGTGGCTAATTGTATGTAATGTAATTGACATGTATTATCTGTTGTATTTGTATGTATGCAAACAGAGAATATGTAAATAAAAACTTGAAAGTGTACAGTTATTTCACGGGTGTTTGTAGAACAGTCAAAACAGTTGCAATAGTTAAAAATGTTGTCCGGTCAACAGTTCATTTCATCATTGCGCATGCACAGAATTTCAGCGGTCCAATTAAATAGTTGTAAATAAGGAATTGTCTTTATAGAAGGCATTAGATAATAAATTTGAATATTAAGCGATTTCGGTATTATATTCAAAGCCGATGCAGTAAAACAGTTGGGATTTCGTTATCGAATTATTGATAATAAGAACAGTACACAGTCTAGTTTTGAAAAGCATTTAAATATTACCTCTTCATGTTTAGTTTCATGGACTTCTATAAAACGTGTTTCATTCTGGAAAGGAACAAGAAAACAACTACTCACAACAATAGTTTATATTAGAATAACATCTTTCGTCCTGTAACAGTCATTTCCGAACCTTTACTGTTCAGATTAACGTATGACAAAGTTGTCATTGTCAATTACGTTCTAGGAGTAATGAGTATCTAGACTCATCATCAACAGCTGCCATCATCATCATCAGTTGACATCATCATTAATTGTCATCATCACCATACCCACCACTATCACCACCATCATCATCATTATTATCATCATCATCATCATCATCATCATCATCATCATCACCACCACCACCATCATCATTTGTCATCATCGTCATTAGCAGCAGTAGTTGCCATCATCATCATCATCATCATCATCATCATTGTTATAGTCATAATAGATCAACATCATTTGTCATCATCATCACCATCATCATCACCATTAGCATTGTTAAAGTCATAAACATAATCATCATCAGTTGCCATCATCGTCATTATCTTTGTCATAATCACACATCATCATTTTCATTATCATCATTATTATCATCATCATTATCATAATATTCATAATCATCATCATAATCATCAGTTGTCATTTTTATGTTACTGTTATTGTGAACATGTAGAAATATACAGATTCCTATTATACAATCTAAAAACTTTTTTTTCAAACTTATTTAAGAAACAAAACACGATCTCAAATGATATAGCTTGTCAGTGAATGGAGTATTTCAAACACGGGTATTGTCGTATTCTGTTTAGTTTTTGCCACCACTACAAACCAAGACCTGCCAGCAGTCTGGCCAACCTGTTTACTGTTACATGCTCAATTTTTGTATTTTGATCATTGAAATCCCTTTAATTTTGAGTGGACTGTTCCAAAATCAAAGCTAGACAAGTCAATTAGGTAAACATAATAGTAATAATACATCTTTAAAAGAAAATCATTTTGGAAGGTATGTTTTGGAATATTTCTTGACGAAATGTTTACGTTTACGAATCGTATCTTAAATGATTTATTATCTTGAAAAAATGAAAGTTTTTGTGACTTTTTTTTTTAAATGCCGCTTCTCATCGGAAAGGGTTATAGCTTGCACAGGGCAGAAATTGGCTGTCGACGGTTGAACGGTGTGTTGTTGTTGTTGTTGTTGTTGTTATACGAACAAATTACATGACTCTATACTTCTCATTAAAATATAACTTAATATTCTAATCTTCGAAGTAGCACTTATTTAGCATATAAATATAAAAGAAAGAGTTAAACAATAATTATAAATGTACAACTGCTTACGTTTACATCGTCAGACGGTAAACACTTTATTTCTGCCTCGCTTCTTGGGTCCCAGTCCAGTTCTATGCCATGCTGCAGTGATACACAAATAGTAACATTAAAGGCACATAATGCCTCAGAAACGAATAAACTGAAACTCAAGTCGAACCATTTTCATAAGTGCAAATTGTTATCAAAGCACAGAAAGTACCGGAAGGTAGTGAAACGTTTGAGAGGAGAAATAAAAGCACAGATTATTTTTAAAAAAATATGTGGGATCAGGATATATTGGGAATTTTGACAGCAGTTGTTTTAATTGCACTTGAAACAAACAAAACAAAACGTACGTAAGACTTTTGCCACGACTTTTATATAGAGGGAAATTGCTACATAAATATGCACGTGACCAGGCTCTATATTGTTAGAAGTATAATTTGTAACTGAAATCCCTTAATATTTGAATGGACTGTTCCAGTTTTAAATAAAGACAGACGCATTTCTTAAATTTAGCATTTTAAGCGCTAAGCAGCTCCAAGTAAAAGCTCTGGCCAGACGGTATGGCTGATCCGGCTTTGTGAAGACTCATCAAGTCTTAAGCGCTAAGAATGCCAGGAAACAAATTTACAGGTTAAGAGTAAAACAATGACGAAGTTATACATACGACGCCGTCGTCACAAGGGGTAAAAGGAATTCCCATCTTGACACCGTGATCTGGATCATCTAGACGAAAGGGTTTGAGGTCGGCAGGTAAGTCTTTAAAGTCTGAAATGAGAATCATCTAAGATCAGTATCCAGCATAAAAATAACGTGCAACATTAAAAATTATAAACTACCAAATTTTTTTTATAAAAGGCGATGAAAATGGACTAAACGGTTTTTCTGAAACAAAATACAATATGTAGGGCAAGCATAATTATCACAGTTTAATTTAGAACCTCAAACTCCCCATTTAAAGGTAAAAATGACAATTTTTCATGCGAGTTTTCAAGTTTACCACAGAAACCCGTAACGTTTTCCAGGAACTCCGTGACAGTTATCATAAGACCTCCAAGTTATCATAAGAACCCCACCCTTCGTGTCACAGTTCCTTCCCCGTGTGTGTGGGAAGGTGCATTCCCTATTACAGATCAAGTAAAATTGGTTCTTTCTTTAAAAAAACTGGCAGTTTTTTAATGACACTATATATTCATATTGTACCCTCATATAGTGTAGAATTTAAAACATAGGCTAACATATCTTTTATATGTGAAGTCGAAACATGTTGATTTTATATTTACAAAGACACTGTGTTGAATCTTTCAATATTTTTGATATCAAATTTAAGCGTAATATATTTTTAAGTATTATTCACCTTTATTCTACCAGCAATTCTGAATCAATGGCATTGTTTTTTTATATTAAAAAATCATGCTTTTACGAATCGATTCTGAGACGTCTGCTTCTTTTGAACGTTATTTAATTTCAAACAATATCCGATTGCTTTTTTGCAGACTCCATTATTTAGATATCTTCAGAAGAACTTCTCTCTATTGCCGTGAAATTATTTTACGCCAGTATTTTACGCAGGGGACCTTAAATTGCCGAAAGTTTCAGTAATTCTAATTTTCTCCCAGAAATCCCCAGATAGATTATGTCTCATTCAACAAAATTATCTTGCAATTCTGATCATTCATTCTATAAATTATGAACCGAGGCTTGTCTTAAAATTGAACAAGTAGATATTAACAAAGCCTTAGGGGAAAATACACAACAGATGAAAGTATAAATGTTGACCGTACACACCTGAATTTGTCTAATGGACTTGCGCAGATTCCATTTCTGGAACTGTCTATTATCAATTTTAGGGTAATCAAGATAAAAAGTTCAAGCTAGCCTGGTCAGACTGAATGCAACAAATTATTAGATTCTATAGAATTTGTATTTATGATAACATTAAAAGGTTAATTTTAAATGAATGAATCAACATAAGTGAATTAATCAATGTGAATATAAATGCATCAATATAAATGTAGGAATGAATCAATATAAGTGAATGAAATTCATATAAAAACAAATTAATCAATATAAATGCACGACTGATAATATGAATCAATGTAATCCACATGAATATCAATGCATCAATTGCGATGTATAAATGAATTAACATAAGCGAATGAAATCCTTATGAATATAAATGCATCAATATAAATATATGAATAAATCAATATAAATGAATGAAATCCATATAAAACAAATATATCAATATAAATGTATGAATGAATCAATAGAAATGAATAAATCAATTTCAGTGAATTCATTTTAATGAATGAAATACATATGAATATAAATGCATCAATATTGCAATATAAATGTATAAATGAATCAATAAACATGTAAATAAATGAATCAATATCACTATGAATGAAAAAGATTTGCTGAGCTATTTTGCTGAATATTTTTTAATGAATACCATTTATTAATTAATAAGTACATATTGTGGCAGTATTACGATATACTCGTATATGTTAAAGGGGGTAATGTTAAAATGAAGGCGATAACTGGAAAATGCTATATACGTGTTATCTAAATTAACAAATTTCATCGATGCATAGAAACGTAATGTATAAACTTTTAATGACGCCATGAAGAACAGTTTGTGGCGTTGCGCCAGATAAATCGGGACAATGATTCAAAGCAGCAAAAGACCTGAATCAGGAAAAAATCTGTTTGTTTAAAACTGAACATCCAATTATGTTTCGTGAACACTGGCTGTTAAATTTTTGCTCATGGCCATACTTCTGATGAAGTTTTACCATCTGTCGTCAAAGTAATTGAAAAATGTCAAAAATGTTTATACATGTATATGAATTATGTGTAGTTCTGAAACAAACGTACAGATATGCTTTAGACTAGGTTAAAATTTTACCGTAATGGTGGTCCCCTTGAAGTATTTCGTCGAGTATATCTCCAGTATATCTGCACAAAACCACGTGCACAAGCAGTGCCACCGCCACAGCCTTTAACCGGACTTTGTTGATCATTTTCTGAAAGAAATATTTTAATTGATAAATGATGCTTTCGTTGATATTGGATATCCTTTTCAACCATGTTTTACAAAAGGCGCTAGTGGCACCCAAATGCTCCTCGAATCATATGCCACTGACCAGTGTAGGTTCAAATCTCGGTAAAGAATTGTTTGCATTTTTTTCATAGAAGTTATCCAGCTAGCAAACGGAACGACAGTGGTTATCACTCGGTCGTACCTGAAACAATGTATGAAGAATCGTTTAAAAACGTTACAGTAATAATATCAACTTCCTCCGCTACCGAAACTGAAACATCCGCGAGCAAAACTGGAACCTCCGTAAACAAAACTGGAACATCCGTAAGCAAAACTTGGACCTTTGAAACTAAATTGTAACCTCCGCTATCAAGACTGAAAGCTCTGCAAGCAAAATTGGACCCTAAATAAGCAAAATTATAACCTCCGTAAGCAAAGCTGGAAGGTCGCCATTTAAATATTACAACGCCGGTTCAGGTAGTATTCAGAAACAACAACAACAACAACAAAATTTAATATTAAACATAATTCTACAGTAACATTCATTCATCTTTTGATGCTTTTGTTGTTTTCTGTTTTTGCTGTAACAGTTGTTGATTCTTGAATCATATAAACATGCATCTGTTCACATTACCAGCGAGTGAAGACCTCACATATCTTCAGATTATAGCTTTAATGAGAGGCACATATATAGGCACCTAAGTGATACGAAGCACCTGTAAAGAGGCACCTGAGCGATGAGAATGACCTGTATAGAGGCACCTGGGTGAAAAGCACATACAGTCCCTATTAAAACCTTTATAAAATACAATATAATGTAATTAAAAATGTAAATCCTGTCTGAAAACTGAAAAAAATTACCTTGCCCGAAGAAAAAGTTTAGAATTTTTTATGAGTATACAAATGTTCATGTATGTTTCATACGAGAAACAGCACGTGATTATAATTAATGGAAAACATTCCGTTTTGTATCCATCAAGTATTGCTGAATTATGTGAAACGCGACATCTGCAATTATTGTCGCCAATTCATCAACATTAAAACAATTGTCACATTTCAGCTACCTAGCAATTATCAGTAAAATTTGTAGCCATAGCAACCGGTGATAACGCAAGAGATCCGAATTATAAAATTATTCAAGACTGATGACACCGTAAAGTATTGAGAATCGATTACAACAAATATTGCATGACAAGGAGTGTTCAAAGAAACTATGGTTATTTGCAATTAGAAGTTGCAAGATTTTCCTTGAAGAAACAGTAATTACTTTTTATATCTGATTGTCTTATTATTATCATTTTTTTAACTATTATTATTATAGTTATTATTATTATTATTATTATTATTATAGTTATTATTATTATTATGATTAGTATGATTAGTATGATTATTATTATTATTATTATTTTATTATTATTATTATTATTATTATTATTATCAAAATAAAAATCAATTTGGATCAACCTTATCAATATCAACATTTCTTGAAAAGAAATTAATAGTACATGTATATATATTGTATATCTTTTGACAAATCATGACCCCTTCTAAGGAAATGTACGGTATTCTGATGGTACCGGGTTCCACTTCCAGTCCGGCTGCGATATATTTATATATTTATCATATTAAACTTTGATAACGGTTTTGATAAATGAACTTTGACCTTGATCTTGCTCCTGATCGAACATACGGGGGAAGGGTAAGACTTATAGTTATTAAAATCGCGACTACGAAACTGTTCAAATCATTCACGTAGAATTTACTCTTGTTATCTCGGAGCCGCGAGTCCGGCGAACAAAAGTCAAGATAACGAAAAATCGAGATAAACGTGTAAACTATAATATGGGTTTAGTTAAAAAATTGAAAACGCTTTTAAAAACTACCTTCAGTTTTCAGGTTTAAACATATTTTATATAGAATAAGTGTACATGTTCAATTTACAACAAAACAATTATTTATAGTTTATTTATAGAATTTGGCCGAAAGCAAACGCTTATGGAAGCCATTTTAAAATGTTGACAAGATGACGTTTTTTAAAGCCTTTCCGTAATAAAACAGTAGGTGAAAGGAGACAACATTTATTTAATAATATCAGAAACGAAGTAAAATAGAATTGTTCAATTGCAGTAATCCAAAGAAGTAAGTATAGTAATAAGAAAAGTATGTCTGTAATTGAGATCGGTAATTAGCATAACCGCAACGCACTGCTACATATGGAAACCTGTTGCCTCCATGAATAGTTTCGAGAAGAACTACACTATCCAAGCATAGGCATAACGAAATATAGATTCTATGAAAAGTTCGATACCATAAAAGAAGATTTCAAAAATGTGTATAAAGCATATCAAATTTTAATTTTACATCTAAAACTGTGCACATCCAAATTCCATAGCTGCACATCAAAGAACAAGAAAGTAGGTCACATCTTCAAAATATAGGTCAGCTGATATAGCAAAGTTCAATTCTACATCTAAAGATTGTGCACATGGTCCAAATTTCATAGATGTACATCAAAATACAAGATAGTAAGTCAATTCGTCAAAATCTAAGTCAGCTGATATCAAAGTTCATTGTTACCTCTAAAACTGTGCAAATGATCAAAATTTCATAGCTGGAAATTAAAGAACAAGAAAGAAGAATTTTACCTTATGTTCCAAATATCATTTCTGTAGGGCAAAAATAAGATAAATTCATAATTTTGACCTTGAAGTTGACGGTCAATGTCTATTAAAGTCAAGGTCACATCTAAATTATTCAATATGTTTGTTTGGTAGCAATCCTTATTTTGTCCAGATATAAGTCAAATCTTTAAATTGATAACAAAATTATGACAATTTAACCAAAATTCAATATCTGACCTTGACGATCAAGGTCATTTTAAAATCGAGGTCAGTTCAAGGTCAGTTCAATCTTAAAGAAAGTCTTGTCCAAAAGGTTGTTTTGTCCAAGTATGAAGATAATCCACTTATTCATTACATTACAAGTTACAGTAACAATAATAGTAAAAATCAGTGAACATTCAATAATTCAACCTTCAAGGTCAAGGTCATATATGAGCCAAGTTCAATTTGAGTTTGATATACACGAAGTTCTAATCCTAAAAAAGGTTGTGTCTTAATATTAAGTCAACCCATTAATTAATAACAAAGTTTTAGCCATTTACAGCAAAAAAAATGAAAATTTCAATAATTTGACCATTAAGGTCAAGATCATTTATTAGTATAGGTCAAGGTCTGTTTGGTTAACTTCAAAGTCTATCCTAAAAGGTTATTGCGACTAAGTTTGAAGAAAATCCATTAAAAAATAACAAAAGTTATGGCCATTAATAGCAAATATCAGCAATAAAAAACAAGCACAATTTAGGCATTTGATTGTGAAGGTCAAGGTCATTTATGAATGAAGGTCAAGTTTAGTCTGGTGTGGTCTACTTGAACGTATTGTGGCCAAGTATGAAGACAATACACTAAGAACTTAAAAAGTTATGATCAACGTTAAAGTTTTGAGGACGCAAAGACAACACGATATGATTCTAACAATACTTCTACTTTTTCTTCGAAAAATGTCGACCTGAAAATGAATATTTTATTATGGCCTTTCATCAGTATACTTAAAGTACTTTGATTATCAATGACACGCTGATAATAAGCATTCATAATCAATATGACAATTATCAGATAGTTATCAGACTTTTTTAACAAATCCGAGTTTTCAGCTTTGTTACAGAATAGACCCTTGGCTATTTTTAGAAAAATGAATCAGAACGAGGCTTAGATGACAAGCTGATTAACCAGCATTATGCTTTTAGTAAAACATGACTGCTTATCTATGGTTCATGACATAAACTTCTCATTTCAAAGAGTTATACATTAAACAAAACAACATGACAAGTTGAAATCTGAAACTTAATTGCCTTATCACAGCAACGCGACGGTGCCGTTTGGATTCCATAGTTACAACCCACGCCAACTTGTACCGGCTTAAGCGGTATTAATTACTACAAATATCATGTTATCCTTCACGCATATGATTGTACCTTCTTATAATTATGAAAATTATGTCCGGATTTCAGAAGAAATTCGTTTATGATCGTCGCTTAAGACCTATCAGCTGTCGACAATTATGAGATATTAATTAGATTAAATGTAAATACCCCGTATTCGGGATATATAGGTGACCTCTAACCCGACCAAGCTGCTGCAATTTACATAAGTATATTCAAATAGGAGAGAAAACATAGTTCTAAAGCATGTTTTGTTGTTGTTGTTGTTGTTGTTGTTGTTGATTATGATGAGGATTCTTGTGAGGCCCGGTTTTTACGTCGCACTAGTACTAAAAAGATCCTATGTCAGATGATTTTTCCAGGCCTTTATTTATTAAAAAAAGGCCATTCCCGGTCCTCGACGCCGCTCCGTACATTTTGGACACCTATTTCAAGAACAAACGAATTTCCTCGATTATCAACACATGATAATAATCACCGGCCCTTAAGTTACCAGCGATGATGATCAAGAAATTCGAAGTAATTTAAAAGATGACGATTGTCAATTATGACGTCGATGGAGGCTGTACGATGACGACAACGGCCACGAAAGTAAAACCTTATCATCAGAACAACGATGACTATGATGATAATGTTCATGTTGATTCTTCGATGTCGATGGTGATGATGATGTTGGTGATGATGATGACGATGCTGATAATGAAAATATCGAAGATGTTGCTGCTGCCGTTGTTGTTGTTGTTGGCGTAAATTATGATTATAAAGTTTATAATGATGATGATGATGATGATGATGATATTGATGATGGTGATGATAAAGATAATGATGATGATGATGATGTTCATGATGGTGATCATCATCCTCATCATCATGATAACGATGATCATGTCATCTTATAATTGAAAAATGTAAGAAAAATATTTCAACTAATAAAATGAATGCCAACAGTTTTAAATGCCTCTTTTATTGACCGCATGTCTCTCAGGGAATAACTTCATACGATCAAATTGCTACATAAATATTTAAACAAGCTTTCACGAGCTATTTTATATCGATACGTTCCCAGAAATTGCATTTCCCCACACACATGTGCTTGAATGACTTCACTCTGATCATGATGAAACGGTACAATGATAGATGAATGCTCTTTTACAAAAGCAAAAATGCAAGAGACACGCCATTTAATAATTAATCAAACGTTGAATGCATTTTGCATTATTTGCGTCTGCTTTATATATATCTTTTTTGCAGCTGTAAGTTGTAACAGCACCCACCGTATCCCCACTTTTTAAGACCGGGGCAGGTTGTACATAACGGGGAAAACGAGTCGAGAATTCACATTTCGTCTGCCTTAGTACTGATGGGATAATGTGACGGTTTTGCTTTCGCGCAAAAATGGAATTGGGTCTTTGCAAAAATATCTGGAAATAAGTGATCCCTTGGAAGCATTATAAACAGCAAAATTACATGAAAATTGCAGACTCGGTTTGATTGAGTTTGTGGGATAATGAAAAAGTGCAACATCCCTCACGCCCACCATAGCACCGGCTTGAGCTGTACTTTACTCTCAACACTTAAAAGTGCTTGACTCAATTATCCCAAAATATAACAACACTAAATTGAAGTACGGGGCAACTTTTTACTGCTGCCATGCACACAGTACTTGGCACCTGCAAGTCTGTAAGTCGCAGTACGGGGCATTTCATCTCAATGTTACCACAGGGCTGACCTTTACCGGGGATTTGAACCTCTAAAAATACAAGTCTTTATCATGGAAGTCAAGGTCGTCGCTATTCTCCTGGAATCAGGGTTTAGTTACAATTTCCTGGCGCATTTCTTTGATTTCCTGTCATGAACGGGTACTGAAGTGATTTTTAAGTCGATTTAATTTCCTTCACTTTTATACTATATTTTTAAACAAAACCAACTACGCAAAAACGCCTTATTTTAAGTTTCATTGCCTATAAAAATTGACAAAAATCTGTTTCTATAGTAAAACCAAATTAAGCGATAACCAGTACATAAACATGTTTAATATAATAATTGACACACGTGCAGTAAACTATGTGTAAACAATATCAAATTTAATTTTCGATGTTTTAATAATGTTTTTCAAATACATGTTTTTTGTATATCTAAAACATATCTTAAACTAAGATAACGCAATAAAAAATAAAAGCATATTCGTTATTTACAAACCTTTAGTTAATATCCCATATATCCATGATCTGCTATAGCCACTTGTTTAATTCCGAGAACTGTTATGCGTTATATAAAAGACTGCAATTTCTCCGTGTTTATTGTTCGTCTCCGATGACTTTTCTGCGGCCCCGTGGACGTAATAAATTGTCTTCTTGTCATCTAATTTCCGAGAAAATCTGTCAGATTTATTATGAGACACATCTGTATCGTCATAGGATGACAAAGTAAAGTTTGATACTCGTCTGCTGGCTATTGGAATTTGTCGTCTGCTGCTTGTATTAAAACTAAATAATTCATCCAAGCAGACGCTTTAAAAATTTTCGAAAATAATTGATTCTTTATAACATTTTTTTTTGCCATCTTAAGCTTTATATGGTGTTATTTTTACTTTTTCACGTTTCATCCAATGGGAACGAAGGAAACGCGATTTACATTGATTATTTTCATAACCATAATTAAGATTTTGCCAATGTTATCTCTCATATTTATTAATTATTTACATCACTTGATAATTATTTTCATTGAAAAGGCTAGACGCATAGCTCATTGTTTTATACATTTAAAAGGTATATTTCAACGTTTTGGTATCCAAGGAGATGAAATATAGGTAACAACACTCTTGTGTTTTATGTACAGAACAGAACAGACATTTTATTTTAATACTTTAACATATCAGATCGCCATGCAAAAAGATAAACATAACAATTATCACACGTCATGCGTTTTTTGTTTGTGTTTTTAGATGTAAAGTTGTTGTGGAAATTTTAAAGTATATATAACTCCACTGAGGTCCAAAACCAAAAAAAAAAAAAAAAAAAAAAAAAAAAAAAATCTCAAATAGGGGATTTAATAGAATAATATGTAAAGATTAATTATGAAATATACATGCACAGAAATAAATTGAAAGTCGAATATTTCGGTTATTCTTAGTCCGATTTGAATAAAAAGCGTTGTAACGCTTTTCAACTTGGGCAATTTTTACACAATTAGAATAATAATATTCTTGAAAAACAAAATGAGGTAATGATTTGAAATTTTGCACAGAATTCGAAGTTATTATCAAATGGAAAATTAGTATCGAAAAATTATTTCAGGCCTGTCATGTCAATTTTTAAGCCTCAGTGAAGTTCCTTTAAGTGTATACTGTTCCCGTTTGGTCCTCGCCTTTGGAATAGTTCAAAATAATTATGTAGATCTAACTCTTTTAATTAAAATACCCAAAAGACATTAAATTTAGGCACTAAAAGTCTTACTACATATGATAATGATACTTATATTTGCACGATTTATTTTAGAATAACAAGGATCTGATTTTCAAAGAAAATGACGAAAAAATATAAAGTTTTAAATTGAAGTACAAGCTACGTCTATTTGTTGTCTAACGGCACCTAAAGTACACCATAAATTATATTTTGGGTGACTTACGGCGCCTAAAGTACACCGTAGTTTATAGCTCCGAAGTTTGACGGAAAATTCCGAATTTCATCGGCTCTTCCCATTGCGGATAATAATAGCCGAGGAGATCAGATTGTTTGTTTGCGCTCCAGTGCGCTTTCGGTTTAATATCTATTTCGATTCTATTTATAGAATATCTTCCTATACACAAAATGGCAGCAGTGACAGGGTCGCGTGTTTCCCGTCGTATTTTAACAAAGTTAGCAGCCGATAAAACATGGATACTACCAGGTTTGAATATTATTTATAAATCGACTTTAAAAATAATTATGCTTTGAGCAATTTTATCAAATATCGAACAGTATTAATTGTAATAATTGCATGACGTGTATACGCTTGCTACACATGACGTGTTTTACCGTACTTACTCTTGTAATTGAACATATTTTTTTTATTATTTTTAGTTACCGGCTTAAAAGTTCAAAATGGTGCCACGTTATCAAGGTTTATGTCGAACAAGAGCGGAGAAAGGGTATAGATCTACAGGACTTGTGTATTTTTGTTTATTTAATTAATAGCAAATCCCTACATGTATATTAGTTCGATATAGGAAGCTTTAAACTTATAAAACAGACGCACACTTTCGAATCCGTTCCTGGAACTAACCAGTACTGATCAAAGAGTGTAAATTTTCTTGCTCAAGGAAACAATGATTTGCCTCTGTCGGGGTTCGAATCCATATGGCTCGCGATCATTAGATTACTAGTTCTGAAACTGTATCGCGATATCATCACGATAGCGTGCGTGTATGACGATACAGTATCACGATACAAAAATATAATGATGCTTACATTTAGACAAAACATGTGTGTTTGACTCATTTGCCGGCAAATGCATAATGTTACATGGGGAATTTTCCTTTCAAATGAAAATGGTTACTGAATAGAGCAGTGTTATTTTATACTTCTACAGATAATCTAATAACATATAATAACGCAAACTTAGCATTATCAATTTACCAAATAACAAGATACATGCCCAGGTCTAGGCATAATGTTCACGGGCCGAAGACACTATATTTTACAAAATTATTAATATCCTCTCTAATGTAACAATAGCCTGGCCAGCGATGATATTTTAATGATAGTCTGTTCTGACCTTGCATTTGCACTGTATTTAGGTCCAGATTTATATATAAGAACTTTATTTCCCGGTATAAATTACCAATTCACCATATGCCCATTATAATTATGTAACATTTTGGGAGGGCTGATCGCTAATGTTGAAAGAACTTGGGAGCATCTCTTTTTGCTGTTTATTATTTCGAAAAACTGTTGTTTATTTTTGTATGTTAACATGTATAATAACAACGGCAAAATATGATTAAATCTAACATAATATTTAATCAAATGAATTATGATTTTAAATATTTTATGAAATTTAAACTTAATTATTTCTACAGTGTTTATTCTAGGATTCGAAAAACAGGGGTGATTTTTATTGAAAAGCGAGAATTTATTACATTTGTTGATCTATTCCCTTCTTTCTTAAAGTAAAATTTCCCCCCTTCCTATGAAAAAATAGGGGGGAATCCTCAAAAATATGGGTGAATCCCCCCATCCCCCCTCCTAGAATAGACACTGTTTCTATATTTTTATTAGCAGTTTATGCAGTGCGTTTCCTGATCTTTATATGTATTTAAATGCACAGAAAACCACACAGTTAAAGAAAATGCTGACATCACCGGACCTTGAGTTTATTATGGAAGCGCACAATGGACTTAGTGCAAAAATTGTCGAGGAGGCAGGTTAGTATTCAGAGGGAAAAAAGATTTATGGTCTCTTAAAAGGAATAATTATCGTGCATGTCTTTTATTTGACCATTCAGGTTAAGATCTCCAATGATTTCAATATGATTGTTGCGCATGATAATTTCTCTTACCTTGACCTTTTCCTCTCTGTTATGTGTTAAATAAATGTTATAAAATGCCAGATTTATGTATTGCATTGTTGTGAAACATACATTTTTTATAAGCAGACACGTGTGCGTGATACTCAAAACATAAAAATGTTCACATGTGAAAGTAAGATTTTTTTTTACAAAGTTCATTTTTTACGTTTAACTATTACGTAAACATTGTTTCGCGATGTAATAATTGACTAAGAGTTAATACACGCATCTTTTATTATTCTAGGGTTTAAGGGAGTATGGGGCAGCGGTCTGTCAGTGTCTGCACAGCTTGGGGTTCGAGACAGTAACGAAGCATCGTGGACACAGGTTTGTGAGAAAGATTATCTAAGATTGTGGAGAACATTCTGCAATTGAAATACATCTCATACTTTGCAATCAAATATAAACTAAGAAATCAATTGTAATTTCATCTGCAAATTGCATAACATCAGGGACATAAATTAATATATATTTCTACAGTACCACCTCGGCAAAGCAACACCCTGTAAGACAAAGATTTTGATTGTTCAAGGGATGTTTTGCTCTTGAACAGTTAGTAACACAATTGTCCTGATCTAGATCTTTGACCGGGCGGAGGCTATTATTATAAAATTGAAGGACTTGAAAAAAGTTTGCTTGTGTTTCACAGGTTGTAGAAGTATTAGAGTTTATGAGTGACGCCACCACTGTTCCTATCCTGCTAGATGCCGACACCGGATACGGTAATTTCAACAATGCACGGCGTCTCGTGCGTAAGTTGGAGTCACGTGGTGTTGCAGGTGCGTGCCTGGAAGACAAATTGTTTCCGAAGACAAACTCTTTACATGACGGGAGGGCACAGCCGTTAGCTGATATAGAAGAATTTTCGTTAAAAATTAAGGTAAATTTTTAATGTCGTCTGGAGACTTAAGTTTGATATAGAAAATGTTTTTTTTTAACAAAGTTCTGTCCATGTTTTCTTCCTCAATTTGATAAGTTGTAGTTTATGCAGTCATATGTTATCATGAGTCTTTGTTTTGCTTTGGTAAAGTAAGTTAATATTTAATTGATAGGAACGAGTTAAGTTGTTTACATAAAAATAAAAATGCACTAGGAAAGATCTAACTGTGGCTGGGATTCGAACTCGCAACCAGACACTTATAAACAAAATTAATGATCCTTTGACACTGTTGTCAGATGTTGTACTTATAATAATGAGTGTAGGTGTGTATTCAACCCTAAAATTAATATTCGAATGTGTGGAATATATTCGAATTATCGAATTTCGGATGTTCAGATAGATATTTGATTTTTATTTAATTCTTTGGTATTTTAATTAATGAAATATATTTGGATAACAACTAAAACTAAGTTTTCATGTGCAGGCTTGTAAAGACAGCCAGAGCGACCCAGATTTTTGTATTGTTGCACGTGTCGAGGCATTTATCGCTGGTTGGGGCCTTGACGAGGCTTTAAAAAGAGCGGAGGCATACAGGAACGCTGGTATGATTCTCTACTTTGTTAAAAATGTTATTTATAAGTTTAAATTCGAATGATTGATGATAACATAGAGTGGTACACATCTATTCGAGTTTTTACTGCCACATCATTGATTGATTGATGATTGGTTGAATGAATTGACGATTGAATGGTTAATGATTAAACGATTATTGATTGAATTGAATGGTTGAATTTGATGATTGAATCGAATGATTGATTATTGATAGATTGATGATTGAATCAGTGATACTTAAATATTTAACTATGACCAGCAAAATAAATGGAATGCTTTAATAATTCCCAATGTCTGTGCAAGTCTCGACAGGGGTAACTTTAATGATTTATTTTAGGGACTCAACCGACTCGCCTCTCACCGCATTGATACCTATTTCTCAATTAAAAATACCATTTAGAGAAAAATAAAGAGATAAAAAAAACTTTATTTATGGAAAAAAATTATTTATAAAATAAAAAATTTATAAAAAAGATATATGAACTGTTAAACATGTTTTAAACTGGATATTGCATTAATTAAAACGTTGTAAAATATTATGCTGTTGAATTAATTTTAATTTATCTGTCTCCTATGCAGTCCTATTTATAGTTACGAATTTTATTAATTTAAATAGAAAACGAAAGTAGCATGCGGACGATGTTGATACTGTGAAATAAACTTTAAAGATCACTTAAAATCATTCGAGTAACCGAGTACTCGATAGGAAAAGTGACCGAGTACTCGAGTAGTGATTTTTGTATTCGTTGCCATCCCTAGAAATAATTATGAAGAGGTACCCTTAAAATATGTGGTAATCTGAAATATGTTTAATCTAATTTCAAGGTTTAAACATATGAGAATCACTTGAAAAAATGAGTTAGCAAGAAAACACCATTTTATCAATATTTTCAATATTCCTTACTGCAAATTTATGAAATATAGAAATTTGTTACTGTTTACTTATAGGTGCTGATGCCATTTTGATGCATAGTAAGAAAAGTGATCCGTCCGATATTGAGGCCTTTATGAAGGCTTGGAACAATCAGGTATGTTTTCATAATCAGGCTGTTAAGACCTACCTGGCTTCTTGCGCTGCCGCGTCAGTACGGTGGTTTTGTTTTGGCGCCTGAACAGCTATGGTCATCTGCTATGACTGAGTATTAAACCACGCCCACGTGTGACACATGGGTGTGTCTGTGATTTTGTTAGAAAAGTGCAATGCTTTATTCAAGTTAATGTATTCTTTCAGGGACCGGTTGCAATGGCACCTAGGAAGTAAATGGCATGCATTTCAGTCCATATATTCTTTCAGGGATCAGTTCTGATCGAACAAGTACCTACAAAATTGTTACCACGCCGACTCAGAATTTCTATAAATGGGCGTGTCTTTGGTTTTATTGGGAAAGTTAATGCCATGCACGGAAGTTAATATTTATTTTCAATTCAGTGACAAAATATGTGACCACGCCAACACAGAATATTTATGACATTAAGGCGTGTCAAAGATTTATTGGGAATGATAATGGCATACATTGTTATTACATTCAAGTTATAGTTAATACAAATTCATTTTAGTTCGATTGTGTTGTAAGCTATAAGCTTATTGAAATAATCTCGAATTCGTTCCTGGAACAAACCAGTCCTAAGCAATGAGAGTAAAGTTTTTTGCTCAAGGAAGCAACGGCTTGCCACAGACAGGGTTTGAACCAACGCGGCCAGCAAACCTTAGATCATTAGTTCAACGCGTTAACAACTCAGCCACGCCGCCATACATTCATTTTCATGTATTTCTTTTCAGGGACCAGTTGTGATAGTACCTACTAAGTATTATACCACGCCCACTCAGCACTTCCAAGACATGGGCGTGTCCATGATTATATGGGCCAATCATAATCTCAGGTCGTCCATTAAAGCTATGCAAGAGACATCGGCTCGTATTTTCAAAGACTCTTCACTGACTGGAGTAGAACCTAATGTAAGTCCTGTGAAATTTCCTAATTGAAATACAAAATGTACGTGTATATTGAATATTTCAGACACTGCATCATACATTATGGATGATTTATTCAAACGTCATTTTTAAACCGATTTGCCTAACATTTTGTGATAAATTATTTATTCATAAAACTTACAACTGTGTCAGCAGATTTGTTTAGATATGAATGAATGAATGAATGAATGAATGACTGGATGGATGGATGGATGAATGAATGAATGAATGAATGACTGGTTGGATGGATGGATGGATGAATGATGAATGAATGAATGAGTGGATGGATGGATGAACAAATGAATGTTCATAGAAAGAAAGAAAGAAAGAAAAGAAAAGAAAAGAAGAAAGAAAGAAATAAAGAAAGAAAGAAAGAAAGAAAGAAAGAATGAAAGAAAGAAAGAAAGAATGAAAGAAAGAAAGAAAGAAAGAAAGAACAAACGACCGAACACAATAAAAGTTTTTTTTTTTCTGTATTGATTTCAGATTGTTTCAGTGAAAGAGGTATTCCGGCTACAGAATGACCAAGAATTAGTCAAAGCTGAAGATATATACCTTCCAAAGGAGTAAATAAAATATAGCAAACTAGTTATTTAAAAAATGATGGGAAAATAGTGGGATAATAAGGTATAAACGCTCTAATAATAAAGAGTACATTGCATAATAATTATATTTATACATGTTGTTTAGGAGCAAATACTTAATCATGATGATAAAAAAAGAATAATAATGATAGAAATGATGATTAGGATAAAAATGATGATAATAATAAAATCATAACGAAAACATTCATACTGAAAAAATAGAAGAAAAAAATGATAATTATAAAAAAGATAACCCGAAATTGTTAAGATAATAATAAAAATGATATTGATTATGTTAAAAAAGTGATAACTAAAGTGATAAAAATGATGATGAAAAAGTAAGTAACAATAATTATAAAAATGATAATCATTTTTCAAAAATGATAATGATAGTTAAATGATAATAATGTTGTTTATATTGATGGTAGAAGGACAAAAATGAGACAAAATGGTTTTACATGTTAATGGTCTATCTAAAGAGTACATATAGCGTGGTCTTGATAATTAAAAGATAATCAAAATGATGATAGTAATAAGATAATAAGGATAATATGAAATTATATTCATATTTGGTCTCGCAAAGGTGGAAACATAAAGTATAATAATAACATGAATGAAATAATCACTATAGGACAAAAGGGTATATTACATGTATTTTTCTTATACATGTACATTCATATACAATGTATACATAAGTATATTTTACATGTTCAACTCATATGTAATCAAAATGTGTCTAAAACTATTTATACACCACCAGTAGGCTGTCATTGAATATCGCGATACCGATATATCGTCATTATTCAACACTCGATTCAACACTAAATTCACAATTTAGAATATTGATACAATTTCAAACACATTTCCCCTTGTCTTGTACAATTTCAAACACATTTCCCCTTGTCTTGTGCAAGTAATCTCTAAATTTTGTCTGAATACCACAACAATCTTTTCTCTCACTGTTTATTGGCTAGTTCGGGAACCCACATTTAATTTTTATAGGTCAGTTAGGCAGAATTTTAAGATAATAAACTTTCTTTTAGTTATATAAGATAATAAACTTTCTTTTAGTTATATAATATAATGTTGTGTGTGTGTGATGAATAAAAAAAATCATGTATATTACCATGATGACAGTTTGCGACACATTTCCAAACTGTTTCAACCGTACTATGTGTCTATATCGATATATGGCTCTCGATATATCGATACACGATTTTGAAAATTCATGAGAGACTGTCCTACTAGGAAGCCATGCAGTTGTAAGTTAATTTTAATCTGAAAAAAAAATCATCATACTGCTGATTTCATGTTATTGCACCAAATATTGTAATAATATATATTATATGAACTTAATTTGATACTAATTTTTGTCATTGTGAATGTACTAACCATCTATATATACTTTTGTAATTCTTTACGTATTTATTGTTATAAACTTTCCTACACACTCTTTTTGATACGTCCATACATTATGATTTCTCTTCGCGGAGATATATTCTGCTTTCTTGCTTGTATTTCAAGCTGTGTGTTCAGGAATATACAGTACACAGGGTAACATCTCCACATGTTTGGACGCTCCATTTTATATCATCTCCGTAGACAATCAAATTTCTTTAGTCATTTCCTCAATGTTTATGTAGTTGTTCGGTCAAAATAGAAATTTATGATAGTTCACTTCAGTGTTCTTACTGTAAAGTTTTGACATTGAGTTTGAAAACTGACCAAGACAAACTTGCAGGACCATAAAATTGATATAGGCATTGTGATTGTCCAATAAAAAGCATTGTTACAAACACACAGTACCATAAAACTGATATAGACATTATGATTGGCCAATGAAAATCAATGTTACAAACATGCAGTACCATAAAACTGATATAGACATTATGATTGACCAATGAAAATCAATGTTACAAACATGCAGTACCATAAAACTGATATAGACATTATGATTGACCAATGAAAATCAATGTTACAAACCTGCAGTACCATAAAACTACTATAGACATTGTGATTGACCAATGAAAATTAATGTTACAAACCTGCAGTACCATAAAACTACTATAGACATTGAGATTGACCAATGAAAATCAATGTTACAAACCTGCAGTACCATAAAACTACTATAGACATTGTGATTGACCAATGAAAATCAATGTTACAAACCTGTAGTACCATAAAACTGATATAGACATTGTGACTAATGGAAATCAATGTTACAAACCTGTAGTACCATAAAACTGATATTGACATTGTGACTAATGAAAATCAATGTTCCCAAACGTGTAGCATTATCAAAATATACGTACAGTAAAACCTGTCCAAAAGAAGACCTTTATACAAATACGACATACTTTCATAATAATAGGACACCTATATATTGCTGTTTGATAATTACGTTGTCACATAGAATTCTTTGAGATATGTTTTTTATCTTTATATACTGTATACCCTTTAACATACTTTCTTTTTATTCTCACATTTCGTACGCAGTATATGTTGATCCTTTATCACATGTTAACAGAGACTTTTTTAAACCTTTTCTCTTAAAACGGGTTTTGTAGACTTGTTTGACTGTACCTAGCTATTACCTAGCTATAGGATGATTGTACAAAAATGTCTTTGCTCCAAATGTAAACAATCAACAAGATATAACCTCATTGCGCATATTCAATATACATATTTTATTGTATACATGTACATTAATCAAAATAGTATTTAAAGTTAGTCATTTAGATAGGTATCGGACGCCAATTGATTAAATATTATTTTAATTATTTAAGTATTCTCAGCCCCCTTGTCAGGGAAAATTTTTAAATAAATAAAATTTAAAATCTATTTCTATATAAATTTAAATTCAGTTTTTAAAATATCTTTTTAACATTTTGGTTTTTAATTTCATAAATTTTTACAGTACTTTATAACACGGGGGGCTTTACAAAATTTCAATTTTTTAACCTCCCAAACATTTATCATTTTCCATTTAGATCTTTTTTTTTGTTATTTATTCATTTATACTTGCATTCCAGTTATTTGTTCTTTTTCTTCTTTGTGTTAACTCATATTTATTTTATTCATGACTCGCCGAATCTCTTTGTTACTGATTATTGTGTGTTTACTTTACAGAACTTAGCCAATTAACTTATCCTTCATTTTAAGACAATGAAAACGCTTGACAGTAGTTAAATAATTAATTCATTTCGATAAATCGTAATGAATTTTGGCTGCATATAGTTTCTCGGTCTTTTTAAGCTCCACCTACTATCGTTACTATATTTAGACATGTCACGTGTCATTATTGTTAAAAACTCAAGCCAATGAAAATGAAGTTTATGTTTCAAGTCAATTTATATCAATTAAGTAAAAACTTATTGTTTTGAGAGAGGCTTGATCACTACTTCTTGCCCCGCCCACCGGGAATAAGCGTTTACTAAATACATTAAACATGTAGCTATTAAAATGTTTATAATAGCGAATCTCTTAACTTATGTTTCTCATAATCTATTTTTATCTTTTTATTAATTTAAAAAGTTGTTGTGATTCTTAAAATAGATATGATACAATGTTGTTTTTTATCTTCAATACTCTTTACATATTCTGTACATGACCAAGTTAAATTTGTTTAATTTATAAGTCATTATACTTTAATTGAGTTTCTCTTCTGTTTCGCCACTTTTACGCACGTCATTTAGCTAATGACGTCACAATTCTATGTTAAACAAGTTTTTGTTTTTTGATTTTCTGGTAATCGATATGGAACTTCAATATTTAATGTTTAATTTTGGTTAATGATGATAAATTATCAATTGTAAGGGATTATCAATAAAATCAAAGTGGTAACCTGTTGTTGATGTTGTTGTTTTTATCAAGGAGGAAAATGATTGTCGGAGGAGAAAGAAATAATTAAGATCCGAGACACTATGAGTTTAAGCATGTGAGATTTTAGACAAAATACATCATCTGTAGTGCATATTTATATTCATGTGATTTGTTCCAGTCTATCAATCTATTAGTCTAGAGTTCCTTCCCCTTGTACTACTTTCCGTAGTAAATGTAGGCAGGGAACCAGTCTATCAAACTCTGTGGTAAATATGATCGAATCACAGATAGATACCAATTTTTAGCTCTCCCAGCTGAAGGTGAGCTATTTTGACGCGGCAGTGTCCGTCGTGCGTCGTCAACATCTGCTAAACCGTTGGATCAATTTTGTTAAAGCTATGACGGATTGTTCTTGGCATGCAGTTTTTTTTCAAAATTGTTTAAAGAATTTCATACCATGTAGAACTTTGGTTGCCATGGCAAACGAAAGGGAAAAAACTTTAATATATTTTCCACTACCACAATGTGATAAGGGACAGAACTTTTATCAAGTTTGTTCAAAGTTCAAATTGGCCCACGTCTGGAGTTATGGTTTTCCTTATATGTACATAACCATAGCTTAAAAATATTTTCATCAAAAACCACAAGAGTTTAGATATTTGGTATGTAACAATGTATAGTGGGTCTCCAATGTTCGTTAAGTTGGCAGCCTAACAGCCTGAAGTTGAAAGCCTAGCAACTAGCCTAAAGAAAGCTAACAATAGTACAAACATGAAAACGGTCGGAAATGTATTGATAGCACTTCCTTAGATCATTCCATGCCTTTTTTCAATATCGTGATCTTTATTTTTGACGATGTTTTTTTTTATTCTGACGCTTTGAAATTGTGAAGTTGGCAGCCAAGCAGTCTAAATAAAACTAAGAATAGTACAAACATGAAAACTGTTGGAATTGCATCTGTGGCACTTATTTATACCATTCCACGTTTTTTATGCTCCCGGAGTCGCCGCCTTGTCCGTCCGTCTGTTCGTCCGTTGTCTTGTCCGGAGCATAACTTGAAAACCTTTAATGATGATTTGTTTAAGCTTCATATAGTGGTAGAGGGCATTGAGCCAGAGTGCAGTGTTAAAGAACCATATAACTCTATTTTGCACCGTTTTGAATTATCTCCCCTTTTAGAAAAATATTGTCCGTATCTATAAGAGATATCAACATGAAACTTTGTAGGTAGTTAGATCTCAATAGGAAGCTGTGCAGTGCACAAGAATCCGTAACTCTGCCTAATCTATTTTTGGAGTTAATGCCCTTTGTTCATTTTTACACTTTGCCGGAACATAACTCTAAAATAATAAGAGATATCAACATGAAACTTTGTAGGTAGATAGATCTCATTGAGTAGAAGCGCAGTGCAAGAGAACCAAGTCTGGGCGGGAAAACGCTCGACTTTTTTTTAAAGCAACCAAATAGACGTTTAATCAAATAAAAGAAAATTAAGTTTTTCCTTTTTAGCTCACCTGTCACAAAGTGACAGGGTGAGCTTTTGTGATCGCTTTTCGTCTGGCGTCCGTCCGTCGTCCGTAAATTTTTACTTTAAATGACAACTCCTCATAAACCAATAGGCCAATTTCATCCAAACTTCACAGGAATGTTCCGTTGGTGGTCACCTTTAAAAACTGTTTCAAAGAATTTAATTCCATGCAGAACTCTGGTTGCCATGGCAACCGAATGAAAAAACTTTAAATATCTTCTTTTAAAAAACCCTAAGAGCTAGAGCTTAGATATTTGGCATGAAACATCTTCTAGTGAGTGTCTACCAAGTTTGTTCAAATAAAAGCCCTGGGGTCAAAATTGGCCCCGCCCCAGGGGGTCATTGATTTTCCCTATATGCATACAGTAAAAACTTAAAAAATCTTCTTTCAAAGAACTCAAAGAGCTAGAGCTAAGATATTAAGCATCAAACATGTTCTAATAGGTGTCTACCAAGTTTGTTCAAATAAAAGCCCTGGGGTCAAATTTGGCCCCGCCCCGGTGGTCATTGATTTCCGTATATGTGTATAGCAAAAACTTAAAATCTTCTTTGAAAAAACCCAAATAGCTAGAGTTTAGATATTAAGCATGAAACATCTTCTGGTAAGTGTCTACAAAGTTTGTTCATATATAAGCCCTGGGGTCAAAATTGGCCTGCCCCAGGGGTGTCATTGTTTTTAACTATATGTGTATAGTAAAAACTTAAAAAAATCTTCTTTTAAAAAGCCCAATGAGCTTGAGCTTAGATGTTTAGCATGAAACATCTTCTTATGGGTGTGTGTGTGTGTGTGGGGGGGGGGGGGGGCTATATACAGGTGATCGACCTCAGGGCCATCATGGCCCTCTTGTTTCATTTAAATAGGTATGTCTATAGTCACACTTGTTTTGTCCAAATATGAATTATTTGCATACATAAATGACAAAGTTAAGAAAATAACAGCAAAATTCAGTCATCTGACCTTGACGGTCAAGATCATTTAAAGGTCAAGGTCATATCTAAATTATTCAACATGTCATTTTGGTGGCAAGTGTTGTTTTATTGATATACGAATAAAATCCGTACATAAATAACAAAATTATGACAACTTCACCAAATACAATCATTTGACATTGACAGTCAAGGTCATTTAAAGCTCAAGGTCAGTTCAATCTTTTAGGTATTTGTTTTGTCAAAGTATAAAGATAATCTATTGATTGATTACCAATTTGCAGCCAATTATAGTAATATCAGTGAAATTTATATAATTTGACCTTCAAGGTCTAGGTCATACACGAGTCAATGTCAGTTTGGCTTTGATATACATGAAGGTCCTAACCTAAAAGATGTTGTGTCTAAGCATGAAGTTAATCTTTTTATAAATAGAAAAGGAAAGTTATTGCCAGTTACAGGAAAAACCAAGAGAATTTCTTTTATTTTGACCTTGACAGTCAACGTCTATTAAAGGTCAAGGTCAGTTCTAAATAAGTTTGGTAGAAAGTCTTGTTTTGTCTAAATATAAATCAAATCCGTACATAAATGACAATTTAACCAAAATTGAATAATTTGACCTTGACCGTCAAAGTCATTTAAAACTCAAGGTCAGTTAAACCTTTTAGAAGTCCTTGTCCAAAAGACTGTTTTGTCCAAGTTTAAAGGTAATTCATTTATTTATAACAAAGGTCTTTATAGCTACCCACTTTGCATAATCTTCTTTAAACGATATCCTCTTTTACACATGCCACATGCACTTGTAATTCTAAACTGAAAACAAAATCGGTGATGAACAAAATTTAAATAAATGCTCATTCTTCAGAAAAAAGGATATATGTCGTGTGACAAAGGAATCTCTGTCTATTGCTGCTTTGTCCAGTAACTTGAATCAGGCATGAAATGAACTGGGCCTTGAAACAACAACAACAAAAAAATTTAAGGTTATTTTGTGAAAATCCACATTGTAACATAACAATTGCGTTGTTTAATCCCCGTCGCCATTTTGTTCTGTGTAATCGGTTAGTTTCCGTAACGACAAAGTAAACAAAAGATGTTTCGGTTGCGTTTATCTCAAATTGTATCGCAAAAAGGAAGAAAAAATGTACAAACAGTCATGTTTGATATAGCTTACTATTGTAAAATAGTCCTTAATAATATTTAAAGATAGGTTCAGTCCGACCGATTTTTTCAATAATTTTTGACGTTTCAAGCAAGATTTTTTACAGAGAGACAATTTATTAACAAGATCTTCATTTATTTTTGCATCATAATTCTATACTGTTTAAATATATCGATAATAAATGTATCTATTAGAAACATGACGATTTTTAATGATGTAAGCGATCACTGAAGCATACACTTTTATGGAACGCCGTTTCCCAACGAAGTCTTCCATCTTAAACATATCCATTATCCCGGCAAGCACGTGGCTGTGTTAACTTGGTGTTTGGCATTTACTTTATCATTGTACACTTTTTGTTTTGTGTAGAAAGCTTTGAAATAGGACTCCAAACAGAAATTATTCGTGTGGTTTTGCAAACCTTACAACTTAGACTGAAGGACAACGATACAACAGTTTCTCTGTCGTAAAATAAACTACTTCGGATCACGTGATAAGATATAATAACAAAATAGATTCTGTTGTTGCCAATTTTATTATTTTCCAACAAATAATAAAAATATGAACGCATAACAAAAACACGAATACATTTCTGTTGATTTGAAGCCTAACAAAAAAAGGCCATACTGAGATTCGGTTTTAACAAACAAAATATGATAAACAAGTTTACTTATTCAGCAAGTCACGTGATAAATTAATGAACTCGAAGCATAACAACAATACAAATATCGGGACATCATGAAATACTCGTACATGTACATACAATGTTGTATTTTTAACATTTACAATTGAGAATTTAACGAAAAAATATTAAATATTAAATGCCCAATGAAAAACTTTGATAATGAACATGAAGAAGAATAGAAATGTTATTATTACATATACACACGTGACTATCCTTGTTTCAAGTATAGGTAATAACCTATTCAAACAAACAACTTCGCTTATAACGTCATCTCATCGATAAAAATGAATAAGAAACATTATAGGAGATTTGACACGATATCTTTAATAGCTGGAAATGTATCTTTGATTAAAAGATATTTCCGGTTTATACGGGTGGTCCAAACATACAAGTTTTATCCTATGACTTAATTATTACATTTTAGTATATACAGAAATATATCAAGAAATCTAAACCAGATTCAAGCAAAACAGTTAAAATAATAAACATTAAACATGGACTATTATAACAACCTTTTATACCTGTTGTTATTTTAAATGATAATTCGCAAACGCACTATGTTGGTTTTGTCATGGCGCGGCTCAAACATTATAAATACGTAAAATCTCTGGTAAAATTAGTAGATAAGTAAATAAACAAAGAATTCTTTATACTGTACAATAGTACAAGTGTCTGTCCGATTTAATTATTTAACACAGGCACCACCAACGCAGACCAAAATCAGCAGTTTGTCTGATCATGGCATGTTCTTGTCACTAATCACTCAGTACATATTTTAAACTTTTCCCTTTAATGATAAATGGTTTGGCCCATATTGAAAGATGGACACGTCCATTATTAGATATTCCCATGATCAGTAAGTGTTAATGTGCATGCTCATGGGTAAAAGAATGGTCAATGTCGAAAATTACCCTCCATTTTTTAAAGGACATAATAACTTATTCACCATTCGTATCGCCGAAACTATCTTGAACATTTGAGTCACTAATTATTACAAAATCGAGGCAAATGTAACAAGGATACAAATTTTATCTGATTTCTTTCTGTGTTCAAGTTCGAGTCTAAAATTATTAATCTTCTTGAAAAAATATAACTATTTTCTTGTAATAAAAACAACTAAATATATCTACTATATCTTAACAACAAATTCTTCTCTTTTTAAAAAAAAAAATATTTCACTGTTTATAATGTTTCAATGTTCTAGCTGAGGGGTCTGTAGTTTGAGTCCATTTAGGCATCCAAAAGTATGGGATCCATTGACTATGGCCGGCGTTATATTTCTCAAACATTCGCCGGTAGTAGAGCGCTTCTTTCGATCGTGGGGCATTGTGGGTATATTTCTTTGCTGCATCTTCTACCTCGCTGTCGTTTATCTGATAAAACAGAAGAATGCATATTTAATTCATTATTTTAAGTGATATGAAAAAAAATCTCAATAAAGGCACATTATGCCTCAGAAATACAATTTTTCTAAATTCTTTAGCAATGTCAAACATGTGTTTAAAATTGTTTCAATAATGGATTTAGAGCATGTTACATGTTTAACATACAAAAAAAGTAGTGCTGACTGTGCAGTAATGTGCTGTAAAGTTAGCAAAACATAAACAAATTAGGATTTTGACTTCCATACAAAATACTAATTTAATTTAAATATATCAATTGCTTACAGAGCGAAAGAGGCAACAGATGCTCAATATGCCAAAGATGTGTCGTTTTTGGAAATGGTAACAAAATACCAAACAGAAATCTAAATGGTAGCATTTTTGAGGTATAATAGGCCTTAAAGAAATTGTAAATAGGATATGATCACGAATTCATATACCAGAAGTTTAATAATAACCTTTAAACATTTGCAAAGAATAAAAAACTAGATGTTCCAAAATTAAAGATAAACGAAACCTACCTGAACGTCAATATGGTTCTGCAGAACTTCGTACCACGACTTGGTAACGGATGACACGCCATCACTGAACGCTTCCTTTGGACGCCATAAAATCTCCTCTGGTAATAAACCAATACCGGAAAATGCAGACCGCAGTAAATATTTTTCAATACCCTTTTTTGGGCGTTTATCACCATCAGGTAGAGACATGTAATAATGGCTTAAACGATGGTCCAAGAATGGCACACGTAACTCAAGTCTAAAATTAAAATAGAGGAATAATTCTTTAGTTTATACATTTATTTAAGCTTGATTGCGAAACAAGTTCTTGCAACTTATATAAATCACTTTCGAGTCTGCTACCTGGAACAAACCAGTACTGGTGTCATATGAAGAAACATGGTCACGACTCGTGACCCGAGTAGGGTAGGGCTCCAGCCCATGGTCCCTGGGTTAAGAGACAGACACCTTAACCACTAGGACACACTAGGATCATATTTAGTTATACAAAAAGTATTTTTAATTTTAGAGATAAGATTATCCCTATAACAAAAAAAAAACTTGCAAATTAAATAAACTTACAAATCTAATTTTATTAGTTAGAAAAAATAAAAGAAACGTTTATTTACATACCCCCAAGCCGTAGTTGTTCTGTCAGCACGGAGGACATCAAACATGTATAAATCTTTGCAAAGTCGTCTGCTTTCCTCGCTAGCTTCCTCGATAGATGGCGCTTTATGGAAATAAATGTATCCTTGCGCCACTTCGTCGGAACCCTCACCTGACAATATCACAGTTGTGTCCGTCTTCTCTTTTATATACTGACTAATTAGATACATTCCTGCAAATAGATATATCATTTTAAATACATTCCTGCAAATAAAACTCTTTTATAAACTGACTAATTAGATACATTCCTGCAAATAGAAATATCATTTTAGATACATTCCTGCAAATAAAAATATCTCTTTTAGATACATTCCTGCAAATAAAAATAATACCTTTCATTATTTACAATAAATTTTTTACGGACCGTTTCAAAAATTCTGATTATACTAGTATACAAATGAAATCCAAGTAAATCGTTGACCCATTTACATGTTCATAAAGGGGCATCCGTGACCGAGTTGGGTAAGGTCGTTGACTTCAAGCCACTTGCCCCTCATCGCTGTGGGTTCGAATCAAGCCAGGAATTCTTTCATGTGACGGTGCTTTCAAGGAAGGCTATGCCTGTTTGTGCCTGAACTAGTGCACGGATGAGCACCTGAGTTTCGTACATTACTCCACCGCATGTCTGGTGATTGCAGATTGATAAGCCGTAACAACTGGTAATACCAATTAAACACTGACAACAAACTGTACATACACTGGCAATATTATTAATTTTGATAAGGTAATTATTCGTGTCTTACCAACAGATGCTCTTACGGTCGTGATGTCATAACTTTCAAGATGATATATGACGTTTTCTACAGCTTCTATAACATACAGCCAAAAACCCATCTTCTGTTGTAATTCGGAAACCAGGTCTTACACCGAAGGTATCCCGGCCAAGAAATACTTTTCTGTTAGCTGTGTCCATAAGACAGAAAAAAACACCCCATCTAAATGTTTTGCTGCAAATTCTATACCATACTTGGCATAAAGATGAATAATTATTTCCCCGTCACAGGCTGTATCTTGTTTAATGTCAAATTCTTTAGCAAGCTGAAAATGTCTATAGAATTCTGATAAGGTGTACATATATTAGAATAGTAAATCAATTATTATACAAATGTATGTTACATTACTTGAAGGCCTCTGGGGATGGATGATTAGGTTTAAAGGGGCTCCACCGGGGTCCAAAGGCCTAAAAACATTAACTTTGAAAACCTTATTAAAATCAAACGTAGCACTTGAAATGACATTATTTTCAAACGATAATAAAGAAAAATAGTCTGAATTAAATCGAAATTCGATTTTTTTGGGGGCGATCCAAGATTATATTGAGCTAAAATCATTGCAAATCTCGGAAAATATATTTCTAGTCGAAAAACCTCAGTGGAGTCCCTTTAAGGTATCTGATAAAAATACGCTTAGGATCTCACAGCTATGGGTTCAAATCTTGCCATGAACTTTCCATATTCTTTCATTTGTCATGGCAACCAGAGTTCTTCATGGAACTTAATTCTTTGAACAACTTTGGTAGAGCTTTATGTAAGAAACATCCCTGCAAAGTTTCAACAAATTTGGCCGTGTGGTTTAGGAGGAGAAGTTGTTTAAAGAAATTGTTGACGCACGGACGGACGATTGACAATGGGCCATCACAAAAGCTCACTTTGAGGACATTGTCCTTAGGTGAGCTTAAAAAGTCCATATCTGTTTTTATAATATAATTTATAAATAGCTTTTATATGGATTATCAAATCTGTGTATTCACCCTTTTTGTCATTTCCATCAGGATTATCTTGGTTTTCCAGAAAACTATTTTTAGAAGAAACTCAAGTGAATATAATATGATATTTTTTTATAAGAAAGCAAACACTACGAAATATACGTGTCCAGGGGCGTAGACAGCTTTTTTCAACTTGCAGGCCCATAGATGGGAGTATGGGGGCTTTTCTCCAAGAAGCCAAAAAAGAGCAAATTGCGCGTTCCAAAGTACGTATTTTCAAGGAAAATTATCAAAACAATCATTTCAAACTATTTTAAAGGCACACTATGCCTCAGAAATGAATAAATTTCAACTTCTTTGTTTTAAGGCAAACATTAATTTTATAACGATTAAATAATGGTTTAAGATCATGTTACGAGATTATTATAAATTGAAAGAAATAGCGCTAAATGAGAAATTATTTGCCATTAACGTAGCAAAATGTAAACAAAGTAGTATTTTGACTTCCATACAAAATACTAAATCACTGTTACTGTACTGTATGCCAAAACTTTCACATAGGCAAAAGATGGTTCAGGTAAATGACCAATCAGTAACCTTTTAGAAACTAAAACAGGACATCATGAATTAAAAGCTTTTGAGAAATAAAATAATAATGCATTCTGGGGCGTAATGGGCTTTTAAACTTTGAATTTTATGAGATGCAAACTTAAACAAGGACGGTATTTTTTGGGACTTTGGAAAATGTCAATTTCTTGACCAGCTTTAAGTAGAGAATTGAAAATTGAAAATTGACATTTGATAATTGATACTGTATGTACATGAAACTGTACATTTATGCGTCATAAAAATAATGCGAGAGTCAAAAGTGGACTTTTTGTGTGCGGACAGTGGCGGATTCAGGCCCGGGCTTCAGGGCTGCAGCCCCCCCCCCCCAGCTTGACCCAAAGATATGTTTACCAGCTGGACTGGAATATATTTTTGTCAGTATCAAACTTTATTGGCTGTAGTGCCCTTATCAAAACATTAATTGCTGTCGACCAATTTCAATTTTTCAATTTTATTTACAATAACACTCAGTTTGTATAATGTACAAAAACATGAGCAAATCAAATATGTAAACATATAAAAGAAATAGGTCACTATGAAAAATAGGTATATAACATAGAGGACAACAATATAGATTTATGTTTGTAAGCTGATATATCATATTTAAAAAATATAGTTTTTAGTTTTCGTTTATTTAACAAAAAAATAATAAATAAATAATAAATAGATGTTTAGTACCGTTTGATCGAAAAGAAAAAAAAGTAGTCTAATTGCGTAAACCGTGGGAACTGCACTCAATAACTTTTCAGTTGTTAATCTCCTGCCTATGGGCTTGGCAGAGATCTTTATCTATCAGCATGCTTGAATGACTTCGATGTTTAAACTGCATAATTGATTGGTTTATTACTTTCCAAAGGTCTAATGAAATCAATAGTCACTGATAGCGGCAAATAGATGTGTTACAGTGTGCACCATATTTTACTATCTTTGGTTTACCAAGCCCTATTATTAAGAAATTTAAAATTATTATTTGTAAATTAAAAAGATGGCGAGTGTTATAGTGATAATATTAAAGGAATCGCGTTTTAATCACTACCGGTAGTTTTACTAAGATTTTTATTAAGATGACATTATTGGTCATATGCTATTAATAACTTTTTATGGCAGTTATATTTTTAAATATAATTTAAATTGTACTGACCTCTTTAGTATCTAAAATAGATTCATTGATGGGAAAAATTCTTATTGAATACTAGTGTTTATTTTTTTTATTTTTTTTTTGGTACATTAGGAAGGCAGTATTTTAATATCACTTACAATTGAACTTTGGAAAATCGTCTAATATTCAGATGAATAAATTGATCAAGTGTTTGAATTTATTTTTATCAACAGTTGTGCATACATTGGTAAGTGTGCTGTTATTTTGTAAATGCTCACTACTTAACACTAGGGGAATTCTTTTTGAAAGACCCTACAAACAATAACCTATACAAAATACATTATTTTGTAAAACCATCCAAAAGGTACAATAAACAGCACTAGAAAGTCAAGGAAATAACACCATTTTCAACCTCATATTTCAAAATTTTCTCGGTCTATGGGAGGGGACACCCCGCTCATGCCCACCCCAATTACATATATTTTTCTTAATTCCATATCAACTAAATATTTACAACTCATTTATAAGGTATGTGCATCGCCACTCATAAGATGAGCTATAAAACACATCAATTACAATTTTTGTCACATGAACAAGATGCTGGTCCAATCTTCAATTTTAGGCCTGTTGAATTATGTTTGTCAAATTCGTCAACCCATATGTCAGCCCCCGCACCACCACCCCAGGAAACCATGTTCTGTATCCGCCCCTGCCGGAAATGACGCTTTATGAGATAAAGTAGTTTATACTAATAAATATTATTTTGTTTTATTATGGGGGCTGTCAAGGGAGTAAGGACCAACGACTTGTCCTTGATTTAAGTACTTGTTGGTATTTTTCTTCCTTTGGACTAGTTACCCATATTTATGTTGTTTACATTCGCTATGACAGATGGTTAACCGATGGTAAACACTTGAGGCGCGCTAGACACTTAAATTACCGTATATATTGTAAGCGATTTTGTAGTCATTTGAAGTATCGAGAAGTTGGCACTGACATCGAAGATCGAAGATCGAAATTCAGTTTCTAGTGAATTTCGAGCTAGCTTTGAACTTCGAGCTAGCTCGAAGATCGAAATTCAAAGTAAACAAAAGCTCAATTTCGAGCTGGAGTTGAATTTCGAGCCAGCTCAAACATCGAAATTCAAAGTTAGTTTAAGCCGGATTTCGAGCTGGAGTTGAATTTCGAGCCAGCTCGAAGATCGAAATTCAAAATTTTCAAAAGTTGAATTTCGAGCTGGAGTTGAATTACGAGCCAGTTCGAAGATCGAAATTCAAAGTAAGCCTAAGGCGAATTTCGAGCTGAAGTTGAATTTCGAGCCAGCTCGAAGATCGAAATTCAAAATTTTCAAAAGTTGAATTTCGAGCTGGAGTTGAATTTCGAGCCAGCTCGAAGATCGAAATTCAAAGAAAGCTTAAGGCGAATTTCGAGCTGGAGTTGAATTCCGAGCCAGCTCGAAGATCGAAATTCTAAATTTTCAAAAGAATCATTTCGAACTTGAGTTGAATTTCGAGACTGTTCGAAGATCAAAATTCAAAATGTGAAGAAAAAAAACGAATTTCGAGTTAGAATTGAATTTCGAGCAAGATCACAAATCGAAATTCTAAATTTTCAAAAGTCTAATTTCGAGCTTTAGTTGAATTTCGAGCCAGGTCGAAGATCAAAATTCAAAATTTTCAAAAGTTGAATTTCGAGTTGGAGTTGAATTTCGAGCCAGCTCGAAGATCGAAATTCAAAATTTTCAAAACCTGAATTTCGAGCTGGAGTTGAATTTCGAGCCAGCTGAAAGATCGAAATTCAAAATTTTCTAAAACTCGAATTTTGAGCTGGAGTTGAATTTCGAGCCAGCTCGAGGATCGAAATTCAAAATTTTCAAAAGTTGAATTTCGAGCTGGGGTTGAATTTCGAGCCAGCTCGAAGATAGAAATTAAAAAATTTTTAAAAGTTGAATTTCGAGCTGGAGTTGAATTTCGAGCCAGCTCGAAGATCGAAATTCAAAATTTTCAAAAGTTGAATTTCGATCTTCGAGCTGGCTCGAAATTCAACTCCAGCTCGAAATTCAACTTTTAAAAATTTTGAATTTCGATCTTTCAGCTGGCTCGAAATTCAAATTCAAATTTTGATACTGTCATTTGATCAAGTATTTAATCGGAAATAGTAATTAGCATAGTATTTTTTCAACGTATGCATATTCCTAAAGAAATATATCTATATATCAAGAAGCTTTTAGCATTATTATCAGTGTCACTACATCTGCATTGCAACATATTTAGCTACGCCCCTCAAAATTTTATATCATAAAATTTTAATGACACGTGACAGTGGCACGTGCGTCATTTTAAGCTAAGTGACAATAGAATAAAGTGAAATTTTATAACATTGACTAAAAGATAATGGCAGGAAATTATGATAAAGGTAAGCATTGTTTTTCAATACTAGATTTTTTAATATATATTTATTTCTTTTTATGTACAGCTATTTGCTGTAAAAAATTCTTGACCCAAGCCAATTCTAACAACTTTGATGATATTTCAAACAGTTATACATATTAATAATTCGTGAGAAGTTCTTAGACAAATGATAAAACCTTACATTCAATGTCCTAAATAATTTCTCTTTGCTCCGGAATAAAACTAGCGACCCTTGCATGGATAACACATC